CAATGGACTTGAGTTGTAATGTCAAAGAATGAATAGAAACAAGATTGAATTTGAAGCTAGGAACAAACAACACCCTGTATAAAGTCAGCCTTGGACTAAGTACTACATCACCTATTTCTGTCACTTTAACCCTGTAACCATTTGGAAGGGTAACTAAGAAGGGATATGGTAAGGTTCTTCTGTTGGTGAATAAATCCTTGTTATATGACATGTGATTTGATGCACCAGAATCCAAAATCCAAAAATTAGCAGGTAAATGGGAACATTTATATGAAAGATCACCAATGATTTCATCATAAGTACAGCAAGCCAATATACCTGCGAAGTTTACAGCTCCACTTGTGATGTTGTTTGAGGTCTCAGCTACAGTTCCAATGTGAAGTTTCTCCAATAGGTTGAGCAACTGATTGTATTGGTCCTTAGTCAGGTTTGGTGCATTTTGAGGTTGATTTTGTCCCTTATTTTCAGCTACATCATGTTCTCCAGTAGAAAATTCTTGAAGTCCTCCGTGAACATTTGCTGCAGATGCTACATTTCTACCTTTTGTGAACTTGAAATTCTATGGGAAACCATGTAGTTTGTAACACTTGTCCTTGGTGTGGCCTGACCTTTTGCAGTAGTCACAAAACAAGCGTGGACCTCTGTACCCTGGTCTGTTGGAATTATGTCTTGTGTTGTTTGTCATTTGATTGTAATTCGTTCTGAAACCACTGTTTGGTTATCCATGAACATTCATTGAAGCAGATTCTAAGCTTAACTGACTGTGTGGCCTAACTTCACGTTGTTTTTCCTCCTGAACTAAAATAGAGAATGCTTGGGCTATTGTGGGCAGTGGATTCAGCATTAAGATGCTTCCTCTCACTACAGTGTATACCTCGTTCAAACCCATCAGAAACTGAATTAACCTCATGTCTTGCTCTGCCTTATGCATATTTGCCTTTGCTCTGCATATTTGCCTTTGCTCCACAGACGCATTGGCAATTGCACTGAGTATAGGCATTCAACGTGTGCAATTCCTCCCAAAGTTTCTTCATCTTTGTGTAATAACCAGGAATGTCTAATGAGCTCTGAGTTAAATCATTAATTTCCTTTTGAAGTTGATACATTTTTGCTCCGTTGGTCTGGTCATATCTATCTTCCAATTCCTGCCAAAGTTCCTTTGCATCATTTACATATTGCAAGCTATCTGCTATATCCTTCGAAAGTGAGTTCAAAATCCATGAGGTGACCATATCGTCGGACCTTTCCCACTGTCCATAACTCGCAGAGTCATAATTAGGCTTTCTACACATGCCATTAATGAATCGAATTTTATTCTTCACAGATAAGGCTCGTAGAACTCCTCTTCTCCAGGATCTATATCCTATTCCATCAAAAGGAATTGGTACCAAACTTGATCCAGCATTTTCTGATGGATGCATGTATAGAGGATTAGTCGAATCCATAACTTCTCTCACCAAATTTGGCATCTCAGTGACTGGATCAGCGATATGATCCTCCGGCCATGATTTGAAGAATTAGAAAACTGAAGATGAGAGAAAATTATACTCCAAGGAGAATCGAAGATTGAGCTAAAACCAAAAATGAGTTGAAGCGAGAGATCGATGCAATCGAAGATTGAATTAAACAAAAAAAAATTGAGCTGAAACAACAAATCGATGCAAAAACTAGAAGAATTGATCTCCAGATTTAGAAAAAAAAAAACTAAATTTGATCGAACTGGTAAAATTGCTTGAACTCGTGAAATTGATACACAATTTCAAATCAGAATTAAAGCGGAAGAACAGAGAATCAGAATTGAGGCGGAAGAACAGAGCCTCGCTCCGATACCATGTTAGAAACTGAAGCTATGAGGAGCAGACTCCATTTGAGGTGAGTCGAGCTGAGCTCCAAGCTCATGAAGAGAACATTCTAGATTGATGAGAAGGAAAATGGGAAATGCAAAGTGATTTTCATTCACTGTATCGGATACAATATATACATATATTGACATCTCATTAGTTAGCGGAAGCTCCACTATAACTAACTAACTAACACGTACAATTAACTAACTAATGAACCTACTAACTGACTCCTTAAGCTAACTAACAAAACTAGCTCTATTGCTATTACTGTATGGTATGCATAAATATACTCAATCAATCTTAACACACACTATTCCAAAGTGACACCATTTTTATTTTTTATTTTTTTGCTGTACCGGTTTGTCAACAACTAGTAGAAAATAAAAAGGCGTTAATGAAAAGAAGGGAATGAAGATGTGCCAACGCTCTTTACGTATGGAATGATTTAAACCTTGATCTTTATTTGGTGTAAATGATTTTTCATAAGTTTATTAGTGTTTATATATATGCTAACAGTATAAACATATTTATACGATTAAATTATTAAAAAGTAGTTCCAAATAAATTTATCAGATAACATTAATTGATAGTCTTAAATAAATAACAATTAATCTACTGCAGTAAGTGAACGATACTGAACTAAAAATCTTCTTTACTTCATTAATATATGGAATATAGTATAACTTAATCCTTTTTTATGCACCGAATTGCAGCAACAACAACAATAACAGTCCAGTAAAATCCTACAAGTGGAGTTTGGGGTGGATAATATGTACGCAGACCTTACCCTTACCCCGAAGGGATAAAAAAGTTATTTCCGAAAGACCCTTAACACAAAATAATAAAAATAAAACAAAAGAAGAGGATATTAGATTCATCACGGAAATCTCAGGAAAAATAGAACCTCACGCACCAAATTGCATATAGAACAAAAAGTGAAAAGGTCGAGTAGGTGGCTGCTGTAGGGGATCGATGTGGTCCTTTCACTGCATGGAACATAGTGCCATCAGTCGTTCAATATTACCAGCACCCTTTGTTTAAGGTCAAAAGTTCACACACACACACACCGACTCTATCACCTATTTATACTCCCTATGTTCACCTCACTCTCACTGTCTCTTTTCTCAGCCAACTTTTTCACTTCATCCCTCTCTACAATGGAAGGGAAGCTCATTTCAATTCCATTTCTCTTCACTTTCTTTACCCTTTCTATTTCTGTATCATCTGTTTCTCTTCAATATCAAACACTTACCCTACGCTCTCTCCCTGAACCTCAATCCCTCTCATGGGCCACCCAAGATTCCAACGACTTTCAACCCTTAAATTCCGAAAATACCCTTGCTGTACAACTACACCACGTAGACTTGATCACTCCTTATACATCCTTATTCAACACCACACCACATGCATTATTCAAACTCCGTCTTCAACGTGACGCCGTTAGAGCAAAAGTCCTCTCTAACCTCGCTGAAGCGGCTGCTAAAGACTTCAGCAGCTCCGTCATCTCGGGTCTTGCTCAGGGTAGCGGCGAGTATTTTACGCGCATAGGCATTGGTACTCCTCCTAAGTACGCTTACATGGTTTTAGACACTGGCAGCGACGTCGTTTGGATCCAATGCTTGCCATGCAGACAATGTTATAATCAGTCCGACCCGGTTTTTGACCCGAGTAAATCATCCTCATTTACTGGGCTCTCCTGTGATTCTCCTTTGTGCCGCCGGCTTGACTCGCCCGGCTGTAACAACAAAAACAAATGCCTTTACCAAGTCTCCTACGGCGACGGTTCATTCACTGTCGGCGAATTCTCAACTGAAACTTTAACGTTCAGAAAGACACATGTCAGCGACATTGCATTCGGTTGCGGCCACGATAATGAAGGTTTGTTCATCGGAGCTGCTGGTTTGTTGGGGTTAGGGAAAGGGAAACTTTCATTTCCGGGTCAAGCCGGAAGCCGGTTTGGTAATAAATTCTCGTACTGCTTAGTCGACCGGACCGGTTCTCCTAAACCGTCTTATCTCATTTTCGGCGAAACAGCAGTAACGCGAAATACCATTTTTACCCCTCTTTTAACCAACCAAAAACTACACACATTTTACTACGTGGAACTCACCGGGATCAGTGTCGGAGGTACAAGGGTTCCGGGGATTACGCCGGAGTTGTTCAAGCTCGGTGCTGACGGTACTGGTGGAGTCATTGTCGATTCGGGTACGTCAGTGACCCGGTTGACCCGACGCGCTTACGTGGCACTGAGGGATGCATTCAGCTTAGGTACTAAAAATCTGAAGAGAGCGCCGAATTACTCTTTGTTCGACACGTGCTATGATTTGTCGGGTAAAACCGAAGTTAAGGTTCCAACGTTGGTATTACATTTTAAGGATGCTGACGTGGCATTGCCAGCGTCAAATTACTTGATTCCGGTGAGTAGTGAAGGGAGATTCTGCTTTGGATTTGCGGGTACGGCAAGCGGGTTGTCTATAATTGGGAATATTCAGCAGCAGGGTTTTCGGGTCGTGTTTGATGTTGCGGGTTCGAGGTTAGGGTTTGCTCCACGTGGGTGTAATTAATCTCAGATTATGAATACTTACTTGATAATTAAAACTCTGTTTATTCCTAAATGAAAGTTTATGGCTATTTTGTGTAAGTTTTTGTTTTCATGGTTTGATGAACATGTGAAAAAGGAAGAGAGGGAATGTGGACTTGCAGAAAAAGAGGAACATCTTCACATGTTGTTTGTTTGCATTATGTGCTAATGATAGTTACCTCTTCTCAAATCTATATATATATTAAAGCAAAGAAGTTTGCCTTCTCATTTAGCCAAGTGACAAATTATTAGAATGTCAATTGGCAACATATTAAAATGACACATGGCAACTTAATTTATTAAAAATCCCAGTTGTAATTGCCAGATTTTTTCGGTCTACAAACAATCAGCCCTCCCAAGTTTATTGCTTGATTTTCGGCAATAAAAACAGTCAATCCTCCCAAAATTAGTGCCTCTGTTTTTTGGAAATTTCTACTATTATTTAATAATCAAAAAATATTAAAAAGTAAAAAAGAAAAATCCTGTATCTCTGCCTTCCTAAAAAAACGGGTAAAAACAGTCATCCTCCCAAAATTAATGTCTCTGTTTTGTTTCATCTACTATTATTTAATAATAAAAAAATATTACAAAAGTAAAAAAAAAAATCGTATATCTCTGCCTTCCTAAAAAAAACGGGTTTCATACCATATTTACCATCTAATCTCTTTGTCTTCCTAAAAACATTCCCAATTCTCAAGATTACTTCCCGTATGATTTCAAGATGAGAAGATACTCATCAACAATTAGTGCCTCTGTAATGTTTACAAAATCCTTTAAGCAAGTAACACTTCCTCAGATCTGAATCTTTATTAACTGAAATTTAGGGATTTCTACATGGAAAGGATTCACAATCGAAGTATGTTCGTGCAGATGACATTCCTCCTTAATTTTGGAATTTTAGATATAAACCCTAAATGTAGACTATTGTAGTTTCATAAGAACTTTTTTTTTTATATAAACTACATAAGATTTGTAAATATAAGATATAAACCCTAAATTTCATAAGAACATTTTTCGGTCAGCAAACTATTTTACAGCTCTTTTTTTGGAAATTTCTTATTTATAGCAAGTAAAAAGATTATGCCAATATTTAAGTTATATACAGAATCAGAGACGATGTCAAAAGCATATACAGAATCAGGTCATATATATATATATATATATATATATATATATATATATATAGAGTTGCACCTACCATATACTTTACTACAGACAATCCTCATATCAAATTTTCTCTAAGAACAAATATGACATGTTTGACTATATCAGCAATATATCGAGTAACAAGATGAGTTGGAATTTGAAGGTACGAATAGTGAGATTGTGGCACGTTCCATATCGCGACAAACCAGACAACACTGTCNTATATATATATATATATATATATATATATATATATATATATATATATATATATATATATATATATATATATATATATATATATATATAGTTATACTGCACAGGTTTATTTGTAGGTGTCTTGTCCTAGCCTCGTCACTACCTCACCGAGGTTAGACTCAACACTTACCAGTACATGGGGTCGATTGTACTCTGCACTTTCTGTGCAGATTTCGGTACTGGTCCGAGCTGATTCTGAGGATAGCTCCTGACTTCATTTGATCGGAGACCCAAGGTAGACCTGTTGGCGTCCGCAGGCCCTGGTGTCCCCTTCTGTATATTCTCTGTATTGTTTCTTTTGTTTCGAAAACAGTTGTATTTCTTTCAGACATTTACTTGTAGAAAAATCTTAGAAGTTCGTGAATTGTGACTCCAAATTTTGGGTAATATTATACATTAAGACTGTTATGAATTTCCGCACTCTTTTTAACTTGTTATGGTTTAATTGTTGTTAATCACTGAAAGGTTTAAAATTGGCTCAATGGTTCTCGAATGTTGGCTTGCCTAGCAAGTGAAATGTTAGGCGCCATCATGGTCCCGACGGTGGGAATTCCGGGTCATGACTGGTTGGTATCAGAGAACTAGGTTGCCTAGGTCTCACAATTCACGAGCAGGCTTAGTAGAGTCTGGGTGATCGGTACGGTGACGTTTGTACTTATGACTTAGAGGCTACAGAGTTTAGGAACAATGTCACTTCTATTCTTCTCTATCGTGCAACTTTGTTCTATCATTGCTAATTGAACTCTTCTACTCTTGTTCTCTCGCAGATGGCGAGCACACGTACCGCATCCTCAGCTGAGCAGCAGCCAGAGCCCCTACTGACAGCTCCTACGAGGGGCAGAGGTCGAGGCAGGGGCAGGGCTCAGCCTAGAGCCCGAGCAGCAGCACTAGCGGCGGAGCCTCAGGTGGAGTTTTATGAGGAGGCTCAAGCCCAGACTAGTCCAGTAGGACCAGCTCAGGTCCTAGAGGGGTTCATCGCCACCCCAATGCTACAGGATGCTTTGGTCCGTTTGGTGGGCCTGATGGAGAGTGTAGCCCAGGCTGGCACTTTTCCCATGGCTCCAGCCGTCTCTCAGGCTGGAGGAGGAGCATAGATTTATTCTACTCACACACCGGAACATGCGGCATCCCAGTATCAGACTTCAACAGCTCAACCAGTTGAAGTAGTTCAGCCAGGTGTTGCGGCACAGGCCGGTGATGGACATGCTATGACTCCCGAGGGTTTATTGAGATTGGACAAGGTCACCAAGCTCTTTCCAGTTCACTACAGTGGTGCACCTTCTGAGGATCCCCCGAATTATCTTGACCGCTGCCATGAGGTGCTGCGGAACATGGGGACAGTGGAGACCAATGAGGTCCATTTTGCTGTGTTTCATATGATCGGTTCCGCCAAGAGATGGTGGAATGACTTTGTATTGACCAGACAAGCTGGGTCACATGCTTTTACTTGGGACCAGTTCTCTCAAATATTTCTTGAGAAGTTCCTTCCTGTCACCTTGAGAGAGGACTATCGCAGGCAGTTCGAGCGTCTCCAGTAGGGCAGTATGACCGTCACTCAGTGTGAGACCCGTTTCGTGGACTTGGCCCGTCATGCTATTCTTCTGCTTCCCACGAGAGAGAGAGAGAGAGAGAGAGAGAGAGAGAGAGAGAGAGAGAGAGAGAGAGAGAGAGAGAGAGAGGGTGAGGAGGTTTATTGAGGGACTTGCTCAGCCTATCAGATTGCAGATGGCTAAGGAGACTGGGAGTGAGATTTCTTTTCAGACGGCTNTGACTCAATATTAATTATGAATTTTTTGTTTCTAGGGCGATCGTATTCATGCGACTGTTGGTCGGTCTCTTATACCTATGTTCAAACCAAAGATAAAAGAATTGGGTTTGTACTTTATGAAGAACTTTGTGGTTGGACCAAATTATACGAAACTTAAATAAACGCGACATAAATTGAAGTTGGCATTTACTCATAAGACGATTGTAGAGGAAGCAAATGATCATCTTTTTGGTATGAGTATCTTCGACTTAAAACCTTATGAGTATTTGATAAACAAAATTGATGTTGAAGAAAGTGAACTTTTCGGTAGGTATTCAATTCGGAGTTCTTTTATTTGAATGTCTTATCAACTTTCTCATGATCATTTTTTTAAATTATTATAGATGTCACTGGAGAGGTTGTAAGTTATGGTGAAGTAGAATCCCATAACCAAGGTGATAAGACCAGCACTTATATGAATGTGGAACTTGAAGATTATGAGTAAGATTGCGTCTATGAATTTACTTTGTTATATATTAACATGATTACTTATCATTGTCTGCTTAAGTTGTTATATAAATTTCACAGGAGGAATAATATCTCGGCAACATTTTGGGGAGAATTCGTTGATCGAATCTTGCCACATTTAGAGGGATCACCCCATCGGAGGGTCATAGTTGTTATGCAGTTGATAAAAGCACACAAATTTCAAGGTATTTCTATTGTGTTGATGACATGGGATAATTTTTTTATGTTAATTTTTTTGGTTCAGAAACTAAAGTTATATATAGGAAAATATCATGTGCGTAATACTTGGCATGCCTCAAAGCTCTGGATTACCCGGATCTTCCTCAAGCTGTTGATTTTAAGTCGAGGTTAGTTATTTCAAAAATTAATTTTATGTAGATACTACACACATAATTGTTTATGGTTAAAACTAATACAACCTTGCGTATATACAGATTGGCAAGTGTGAATGAAGCTAACTCTGCCAGGATCAGTCAAATACCTTTTCAGCGTAGTTATTCTGTTTCTGATGAGTTGGCTACTGAAACTGTAGAAGTTAAAACTATTAGAGAATTGGTCGACTGCATGGAGGTGACTAATCTATTAAACTCCTTTAGTATTTAACTAATGTTATGTTGTGTATGTATAACACTGTTAGGTCTAAAAATACTATTTGTTTTCCTAAATGTGCACATATATGTTTTTTGGAATCCCTGTTACGTAAGTTTATGAGCATTTCACAATAAAATACTTAACTAATAAAAAGAAAACCTCCACTGCAGCATGTAGGAGCTAAGACAGTTCATGATTACGTCGCAGTAGATTGCATACAACAGAACCATTTTTTCTGAAAGACAGTGCACTCAAACAGTTATTATCTGGAATTTATTTATAAAATGCAGACATGCTACTCAAGAAAAGGAGATGAGCAGCCACATAACTTTGTTCGATCTTAATCATTGTTAACTAAAATATTGATTCACAACCAATTGTATTGACCTTCAGCAAATAGTAAAGCTCCATAAATAATCAATGAAATCAATCAACTCTTGGAGAATTTGCACAATAACACAAGTATCTTTCTTAGTCGTTGATGAGGAATTCCTCAAGTTAAGCAGGACCTGGTGAGCATTTCACAATAAAAAACTTCTCAAAGACAATATTCAATTTGATAGACATATTTTTTTTTTGACAAAGTTGGTAGGAAACCTTTGTTATAGACATATGTCTTGGCCTCACACTTTCTTTACTTGGAATGGTTCAGTTGGAATCAAATTAGCAATTTTACTGTACGTGGAAATGTAGCATTCTTTTCCGTGTGGATTGGTCCTATTTGTTGGGTATTAACATCTAGAAATCTTCCCTTTAAGACTTGGAGCCCAAGCATCTGCTATTGGTGCAGTGGAGAGCAGGGATAGTAGTAGTGTGGTTGCAATGTCTTTCCTCTCCGTTTCTCGAATGATTACAGTAGGAGGAACATTGTACAACTAAAATACTAAATGCTTCTGTTGAAGGTATCTTAGAAGCTATCTTAGATAAACAAATTAATAAATTAGATAAATGAGAAGGTATTGAATCCGAATGCTTACAGATTGAACTATTGAAGGTATCATTTAATGGAACTAATTTAATATCTATACTTAGTTACTTATATTTTTGGTTTTGGGACATAAATGGAATTTTCACAGCTTATGCTCTTGGCATTTATATATAGATTCCAACAATCAAATTTGCTAGATACATTGCTACAACTTGACTTATTTTCAGGAAGGACATATTTGGATTGTTGCGACTGTAGTGAATCTTCTACTTGAAAAAGAATGGTCATATTTGGGGTGCAAGAGATGCTCGAAGAAGGTTGACTAAATTGGAAGTAAATTTCACAGCAAGAAATGTGATCGCCTTGATAGTTCTGCCACTCATAGGTTTGATAAGCTTCACTATTTACTGTGAAATAGAACTAAAGTTGCAAGTTACAAAAATAAGGACCAATTTTACTATAAAATATTAAATGAAACTAAAGTTTCAATTTCTTATTCTAAACGTCTCTTTTAGGTACAAGCTTCGAGTGCAAGTGATGGATCACACTGGCTTTATATCTTTGTTGCTTTGGGATCGTGAAGCAACAAGTCTCATTGGGAAGTCTGCTAATGAGTTAAATGAAATTTCAATTGAGGCATATTTTATTCATTTTAATTGTTATAGTGTATTGTTAACAGGTTTGAACCTGATATGCTTGCGTTCTCGGGATGCTACTATGGCGGAGTGGATAAGGAAAGGACAGAACTAGGAAAGATACGGCGGAGGTGGAAAACTTTACATGTGAGACCCCAAGAATATCAGTTTTTTGGTCATTTCCTCATATTGAGTCATCATGGCAATGTACTTTAAAGATTTGATTGTTTGTTCCACTTATGCATTGAACTATTCTGTATTTATTCAGATTTTTTTATTTTGATAACACAAGGTGATGATCTATCAAAAAGAGAATAAAAGTAACACTAGATAATCATGGAAATAAACTGGATTTACTGTCATCCTTGTGAGTCCTAGATATAACTCTCTCTGTCCCTCTCTCTCTCTCTGTCTTATATATGTGTGTACATACATACATATTAGCTTCAGAGAAGCAGTAAAGAAATGTTAATTTATGAATGTTATATGTGAGTTAAGTGAATGAATCAAGTGTTGGGTAAAAGTTTGTGTAGTTGAGATTTTCGTACCTACTTATGTTTGTGAGACTCCATACTTCTGATACAATTTTTTTGTATGAGACATAGTATTCAATAAAATGAAAAAATAAGAATCAATACTCCATCCTTTAAGCAACAGCAGCTCAGTTTAGGAACATGGGAAAAAGGTAAAAATTTTAGTTACCATTCTTCAGTCATCTTGATGTATTGGAGACCATGTGAATTTTTACTCTAAGATAGCTACCTTTTAAATTCAGCATCCTTTACCAGACTTTCAGAGCAAATGAATAAGAATAATAAGCCAAAGAAAAAAAAGGATTGCATAAATGTTCCAGATCTATTATAAATGGCGAAAAATCATAAGCTGCCTCGGAACAAGTCTGCAGCAATATTTCCAATATACCATTTCATTCTTCAGTAGCAGACTTCCCTATGATAATTCCAATGCCAATGTCCTTTCGTATGTGATGAAGATATACACCAAAAATTTATAGGAAGCCAAGTTCATATGTACCCAATTAGAAATGTGTCTATATTGTATTCTTCAGATAAGCTAAGCACTTATCCTTTTTTCCATTTAAATATAAAAAATAGAACACAGAGATTTATCAAGAAGATTAAAAGCTGAATTGGTTTCCAGTTTAAGTGAGGAAAAGAAGATGGAGAAATTAGCGCCGGTAGTGAACAAAATTTGCACTATAGTTAGGGGTGTTCAAATCGAGCCGAAAAATCGCCACAAATTCATGCAGATTGTAACTATATGTTTCTATACTGCGGCTTTAATTGAGATTGCTGATTTCTACTAAAGCAATTCATTTGCTTCATGTTTTTAGTATTCTAAACAGACGTGGATGATGTAAATTTTATGTTCTAGACTGGATTGCAAACCAATATGTTGGATGCTGTGACTTTTGTCCTTTAATCAAGTTTGTTGCTTTCTACATATTTCAGAGTATTCCTTGCTATGATAAGTCGTTAAAATAAACCGCGCATCGCGCGGATCCTAATACTACTAGACTTTTTAAAATAATCAGTAATGGTAACTTTAGTAAAATATTTAACTTTATCTTAGTTTCTTAAAGTAACATCTTTTCGCAGGAGGAAAGAGAATTTTTTTCCCAATTTTTGGGTAGTTAGTTGAAAAGTGGGACCTCAACCAATACACTGGTTAAACAAAGAAGTATCCCACACAATACAAGTATGACATTGGCATGTGAAACTACAAAGTAAATTTCTCACTTCAGTATTCCTGCAACTAGTTGGAAGACCGAAAAGTATGCTATAGCTGAAACTACAATACAATTTAACGAATTGGCTAATTTCACCTGAAGCAGGTGGTAGCTATCATCAATAAGACAAAAGGAGTGTCATTATTTATTATGGTACAGATTATTATTGCTGCAAAACCGCTAAAGTTGAAATCTCCCGCCATAGTGTGGAAAAATGCGCCTTATAATGGTGCAATTTGGGGGCAGTTGAAGGACAAGTTATTAGGCAGAAATTGACGGTAAGAGTATGAATGTGGACTCGGCTACCCAAATAATGGTTTGAAAGAGTGAATTCTTTTGACTTCCTTGTAATTAAATGTAAAGTTTGTGTCCCAAATGGCAATACTAATTAGTACTTCCTCCGGTCCACAATAAGTTACTCCCTTCGGTCCAAAATAAGTGATTTTTTGAATGTTTTCACACAAATTAAGAAATTCACCTTTTAGCATTAATTAACAATGGAATTGACCATATTAACCTTTACTATCTCACATAAACACTCGTAACACATATTCCAAAACCATTTACTTCAAGAACAATGTAGGAAAAAAATAATTAGTTCATTCTAAAAATCTGGAAAAATCACTTATTTTGGACCACAAGAAAAATGCCAAAAAATCACTTATTTTGGACCGGAGGGAGTACCATTTTATCTTTGGCACACACATTAAGGAAATACAAACTCCTAGAGAAAAAAAATGTATTCACTAAATTATCCCTAACTAAAATTAGCATATTGTTAACTTGAAGTGATGACCCGATGGGTCATCTCATGTTTTAGAACTAAATTCTGTGCTCCGAAGCCTTAAGTATCTTAATTTAGCCGTTCTCGATTTGCGTGCGCGGTCCGGGTAAACGGACATGGACCCGTATTTTGACGGTCCCGTTGGGTCCGTATTGAAATATGGGACCTGGGAGTATGCCCGAAATCGAATTCCGAGATCCCTAGTACGGCTGTTCAAAATCGAACCGTAACCGAAAACCGAACCGCAAAATTGGCTTAATGGCTTATTCGTATCGGGTTATCGGATTAATGGATGGTGAACGGATTGAAATTTTATAATTAATGGCTTATCGGTTTGGGAACGGATTATTCAATTTTCTTAACGGTTAAACCGTTAACCCATTAAGAATTTTTATATTTATATTTTTACCCGTATGTATATTAAATATCCCTTTCACTATTTGACAAAGTAGCAGTTATTATTCACGTTCAGAAGGTTCACTAAGACACTAACTGTTCCTCCCTCCGGTTCACAATAAGTGTCCAATTTGCTTTTAGCACACCCATTAAGAAAATACTAAATTCTATACAAAAATACCTACTATGACTAAACTACCCCTAATTAAATATTTAATGTGAGGAGTAAGAAAGCTTTTTAGGGATATGTACATAGGGGTAATTCTGTAAAAACAAATTGAATTCTTTCTTGATTACATAACTGGACACTTATTTTGAACCAAAATGAAAAAGTAAATTAGACACTTATTGTGAACCGGAGGGAGTATTGTTTTATCACGGATACTAGCTTAGTGGTATTAGACTATTGAAAATTCACTTTCAAATTATAGTGACTTCTGCCAGTTGTGAAAATGCACTTGCATATGCCTATATGGCTTGATGCAATAGCACAATGTAAAGAGCCCTACACAACACTAATTTAGTATATGGCTATATGTATTCTGGCCAGATCTTTTACGGAGAAAACATAAATTTTCAGTTAGTGACTTCTGGAAATGCGGGCATGACAGTGTTATATAAACGGGTTGAATTCAAGATTTTAATTTGGTGATTTAATGTCAAGTCATATATGCGCTCACTGCTATTTGATTTAGCCGATAAGCCGCCCGATAACCGCCCGATAATGACGAAACCGATACCAATCCGCCCGATATCTTATTGGTTTGGCTAGCGGATTAGTACATTTACAAGCCGATAACCGATAAGCCGAACCGATAAGCGTAACAATCCGCCCGATCCGCTCGATAAGCAGCCCTAGTCCCTAGCTCGAGATATGAATTTTTGTTGAAAATTAAAAGACTGAAAATTTAATGGTTTTAAGAATTTGGTTAATCTTTGGTCTCGTTGTTATCGGGTCCGTATTTTGGTTCCGGAGCCCGGTACATGTTCATTATAATGTTTAAGACTTGTCTATGAAATTTGGTAAGAAACGGAGTTGGTTTGACGTGATTCGGACGTCCGATTGTGAAAATAGAAGTTTCAAAGTTTTCTTGAAAATCTCATCTGATTTGGTGCTAAATTCGTAGTTCTAGGTGTTATTTTGGCGATTTGATCCCGCGAGCAAGTTCGTATGATGTTTTAGGCCTTGTGTGCATGTTTGTTTTGGAGCCCCGAGGGCTCGGGTGGGTTTCGGATAGGCTACGGGATGTTTTGAACTTAGAAAATCTGGTTTTTTTGTGCTTCAACTGATATATGGTATGTTCTTCTTCGCGTTAGCGAAGGTACTCTCGCGAACGCGAAGAGTGAGCTGCACTGGGTGAGTTTTCTTCTTCGCGAACGCAGAGTGATAGGGGCTTTACCCTTCGCGAATGCGACCAGATTAACTCGAACGCGAAGTATTAGGGACCCGGGGGAGGAGTCAGTCATTCCTTCTACGCGAACCCGAGCAGGGGCTCGCGAACGCGAAGACTAGGGGGTATAGCCTTCGGGAACGCGACAGTGTCCTCGCGAACGCGATGAACACTGTCACCCAACTATTAAATAGTCCCATTACGGGACTTAAGCCATTCTTTCAAAATTACAAAAGCAGATAGCCTAGAGGCGATTCTCCCAAGCTATTTTCTTCCCCAAAGTGTTGGTAGAAACTAGGGATTTGGAAAATTGGGAATTTTGGCCTCAAATTGAGGCGAATTCCAAAACGAATTATATATCCGGGCTCGGGGGTGAATGTGTAAATAGATTTTGGTCCGAACCTCAGGTTTTGACCAAGCGGGCCCAAGGTCGGTTTTTGACTTCTTGGGGAAAAGTTTGAGAAATCTAAGTTTTTGCATTATAGTTGATTTCTTTAGCAATATTTGATATTATTGAGTTAATTGTGGCTAGATACAAGTGGTTTGGAGGCGAATTCTAGAGGAAAAGCCCCGGTAGAGCTTTGAATTGACCGCGGAGCGAGGTAAGTGTCGTGGTTAACCTTGGCTTGAGGGATTAGGTCTTATTTGCATATTTGCTACATGTTTGAATGTTAGGTACTACGTATAGGTGAGGTAACAAGTACCTATGCGTTGTTGTTGAGTTATAGCATGCGAGTGAGTCTTATTCTTGTAATTATTGCTTTTTTTGATCATATTATCCATGCTTAGACTAGCTACTTGTTATGTTGAGCTTTCTTATCATGTTTACGGACCTTGGTATTGATTGAGTACTGACTCAAAGTTGAGGTTGGTATTGTGGAACCAAATGTTGAAGTAAGACTTGTTATTGTCATTTCTATCTCCCTGTTCTTATTGTTCATTGTTTTGG